GGGACAGGTCTCGGTCCAGGGTGCTCCTGCAGCCTGATGCCCTCCTGGGACCCTCCTGAAGGCCATCCCCGCCCGGAGAGCAGCATGGGAGGAACCTAAAGGTGCCAGCATGGGCTTCTCCTGGTCCAAAGTAACCAACCAAACCCCCATCCTACAGCCTTCCCCCTGCGCTCTTCCACTGCAAAGTTATTCCCCGCCAGCTCAGCCCTTACCTTCACCAGCCGTCTGTAGCATCTCCAGGAACCAAAGGGGGACTGTTCAGAGGCAGAACTACTATTGACCTTTGCTGGTCCCAGGTCCCCGACTCTTTGCAGTCCCACTGTGCTGGCAGTGCTGTGGCACCCTGGACAAGCTGGGCTAACAGTTGGTCCCTCTCTTTTACAAACTGCCCGTGTCAGTCCTTAGACCTCAATGGCAGAGGGACAGCAGCTGCCAGTCTGAGTCCCCGTGACCCCCAGGGGCTGCCGATGCCTGAAGCCCACCAGGCAAAGACAGGGATTGCATGGGGTTAAATCAATCAGTGCAACTGGAAGTAAGCAAACTGGAGGGCAAGATGAAAAGCTTCCTTGCTACCATTCACAAAATAGTGCTGGTAAATGCCATTGCCTCTTTAGGTCTACTTAATGTGTGCAGAGGCAGTCTGCACATGCATCCTCTTAAAGCCATCATGAAACCCTAATCTCTGTTTCTTCAATCTGAAAGCAGGAACAATGCTGGATAACTATGCTAGCAGTCACCTGGTGACTGCTAGATGAAAAACACTGGTTTCTCTCCTCTGCACCTTTTCACTATTCCTTTTTGTTCCACCTTTTCTTCCTATTTATAGATCTCCACTATGGACGGTGAGACATAGAGGACAGAGCTGGCTGAAAACTAACCTGGGGAACTGAAAAAAAAAAGGTTAATTTTCAGCCAGCTCGCAGAACCAGCTCGGCGTGTGGACACATGGTAGTGAACGCAGTGGAAAGCACAGGCAGTGGGTGCTGCATCCACTGATGGCTTGCCCTTCCATTCACTCAGCCATGAAACTGCAGCCTAGAGTAGAGTTGTCTTTTGCACACTTCTGAAGACGTTGGTGGCAGCAAGGAGGCTAAGGATGAGCTTGGGACTGTGCACCATGTGGTCTTTCAAAGGAATGAAAGGTTTGAGTTTAAGCTGGAGCAACACTTTTTCCCAGATCTCTGCTGCTGTGGTAATGGGTCCTTTTGGAATGCAACAGAGAGACTAAAATAGATATCAAAATGTGGAGCTCTGTCCTTTTCCCAGGAGCGATACGTTAGATAGCTCAAAAAATCTTTTCCGTCTCACAGTCAGTGCATTATCAGCATATAAAAGGAAGAGTACGAAAGGAGTGTGGGTTGAGGTACATGGACATAAGCATTGAACCCTCCAGCTCTTGGCAGCTCAGACACTTGTGGCTGCATTTGCTGTTCAGAAGGACAAGGCACCCTTGCAGGAGCACCAGGTTGTGGAGGCTGCAGCAAGAGCGATTTCTCATTTCACTCCTCTGCCCTATTGATAACTGTATCGGTTTATTTATACATTCGTATCTGCCACTTCTTTTTCTGAGGGCAGACAAGCTATAGCTTCAGGTTAAAGGTTGGGCTGGCTCCAAGACACTTGTGTCGAACATGATTTTGACATTACACTGTGTAAATCTGCTTTGGAATGAACTTCAGGGCAGTTTCCAATGCACAATCAGGAAGAGTTTAATATCTGGCTCTTGGGACATCCATCACTGCCGAAATGACTGGAGCCCCTGGCAATTTGGCCACAAATCTCATAAGAACAGGCATTTCTGGGGGATTTCTGGCCAACCAACAACAACAACAACAAAATCTAACAGCTAGAGGCATCAATTACAGAGGCAAAAAGGGCCTGGCCAAATTCCTTTAAATGTTCTTGATTGTTGGGGCAGTCCAGCTCTGTCTGAAATTCAAGCTCGGCTCCAGCCTTACCACCTTCCCTGCCCCAGGAAGGGGCCCATCACACTATAGATTCTGAACAAAAGCCAGCGGTTTCAGCCCATCTCAAATAGCAGCACTCTCAGCTCTGCTGGGAGCCAGGGAGCAGGATGAAGTGGGGACAGTTGTTTGTCAAACTATGTTTTTTTTTTTCTTTGCCTTTTTTTTTTTTTTTCAGCATGGTATCAGAAGGTGGATGAATATCAGCCCGTCTCTAAGACACATCTGTGTCTGTTTTAGAAGAGGCGCCTCTGACGGCGCCTCGCTCGGTCCCCATTAGGACAATTTGCTCATCAGCACGATCTTGCCCTTGCTTTTAAGAAAAAGGTCTCCGTCCTCACGGCAGCCTCATGCTCCACTTGCGAGGGTTGGTGGCAGAGTCATCCCGCAGGCGCGTGTGATCGCTGCTGCCGTGGCGGAGGCAGACGGACAGAGCCCACGACTGCTGGGCCAGATATAGCTCTGCCAGAGATAGCGGCGGCGAGGGCAGCGTGGGCTGCACCGTGTGCCGGAGTGGCCGGGTCAGGCTTTGGGTGGGCAGCCCTGCGCTGTCACTGCCGGGGGTGGGGGGAGAGCAGCGTGCTGGGCAGCTGATTTAAAGCCAGCTCAGCTCCATCTAAACCATCTACCACAAGGGGGGACCCACCACGTTTAGCGGTGTGCTTCTCGTTTGGCTTTCGGCAGCTGACTGTCATGGCTGAACCTCAAAAGAGCTCGAAGTAGCAGGGAGAGCTGCTTTCCCTGGCAAAGCATCTCAGCATTTTTTTTCCCTTCATCCCCACCGTTGTTGTTTTTTTTCTTTTTTTTAAATGCAAAACATCTCTTCAAATGGCTCACACCGTGGGCTCCTCAGTTCACGGCTGCAGGCGAGTAATAGGGATAAAAACTGAATCTTCTGAATCTTTGGTGCTGTCAGTCAGAGACTGATTTATTCTAAGCATCGCCTTAGGTTGGAGGGGAGGGTCCAGTGATCACGGTGATATTTAAAAGTCCCTCCTATGGGTGTGTGAGAAACATATTCACTCTTAGCTCATCCTGCAGTAACATCGCCTCTAACAGGAGGTGACTGGTTGCTTTTACTCTTCCTCATGATCAGCCTGAGATCCGGCCCTAGCGAAGCTGAGACGACACAGGAGCCACTGGCATGTGTCTCCATACCCTCTCGTCTTGCGTGTCCCCCGAGAAGGGGGGACAGACTGACAGCTTTACCATCCTGCAGAGGTGGCTGTCCTCGCTTGTGCTGTGCCTCCCAGCCCTCAGCTGCTACTTTCCCTAGAAGAAGGTGGCCAGCCAGAAAAATACATGCAAATATCAAACCCAGCTGATAAATGAATAGCTGTTCGCAGTATGATCCTCCAAGATTTTATTTAAGTAGAAAAATAATGAGAACACACTGAAAATGTGACAGGTAGGATTAAAGAAATACCTTTCCCTAATGGCCAGACTTCTAAAGCTTTTTTGGGTGGCCTTGTTCATTAGACATCTGCCTTCATTACTGGCTGGGTATGTCTGACTTTAGCTAAGCAGAAAAAAATTGAAGTTATTCACCCGAGATCAGAATTTGCCCCACAGCTGCCTGGAAATTAGTACTAAAATAGTGCTGTTTGTTCACCATGAAAATCTTTGTCATTTGATGTCTGTGAAAACATATTTCTGAAAATACAAACAGTTGCTGTGGTTCCAAATATAAAACTGGGAAAGAAAAACATATATGGCTGAGTGGATGTAAAAGTGATGTGATTGCTTGATACTGAATCTTTAAAAAATGGAAAATTCTGAGTAAGGTATTTGTAACCTATTTGACACAGAAAACAGTGAACTGATGTAAACTTAGAAAGTGATTAGAATAATGCAATCTTCAGTCGCAGCTTCTGGGATTTTCAAAGGGGAAAACCAGAACGCCAGACTTCGCTAGGTTCATTCGAAAAGCTCAGCCTCTATCTTCATGCTTCAGTAATTTTCTCTTTTAAAAAGCAGTCTTAAAAAAACAAGATGTCACTTGACCATGATCAGCTTGTGCCAGCCAATCCAGTAAGGAAAGCACGATCCATTACAGAAACAGTAGTGTTTGCATGTAACTGCACTCCTCAGAGGCATATTTTTAGGAGGGTGCCTGTGTGTGCTCTCGGAATTCTGCATCTTATTAGCATGCCTCCTTTATATCGGATTGTGGCTCTGGCATTGCTGCTGAGCCCAGGCACGCTGAGGGGAGGTATG